AACTTAGGTATAGGGCAAGCTATTAAGAAATTGTAGGGTCTACATAAAGGCATCTAATGAAATCATAAAACACAGGGTGTTTTATTTCAAAAAGTCGAGATTTTTCAAATTTTATATTATCAGGTTTGGCATGATTTTTTTACCCCCTGTATATCGCAGGTCAACTTTTGAAAGAGCCATCTTCACTCTAAAGTTCCTGAAAAAAAAATAATTTGTAGCTGTCATACAATCATAATTATGTGACGAAACATAAGAAAAAAAAATGAAGAGTCGATTATCTCGAAAACTATCAATATTTTAATAGGGATCATAACACAAAGTCCCGTTAATTTTTCACGTAGAATTCGATAATGCCATAAAAAATATAGGTTTCCATTTAAAAAATTAAGTTGGTACCTGCCCAGGGAAACATGGACACCCTGTATATGCAAATATATTTTCATTTTGTGCAGCTCGGGAAAGTAGGCAACTCTGTATAAAAAAAAAATTAAGTTATATCTTTTATTAACCTAGATATTGGACTTACGCGCACTAGGTGGACACGGTGTGTAAAACACTCATTTCTGACACGATCGTAAATAATTTTATAATGAATGAAGTATATGAATCGATATTAAATTCATAAATGTTGACGGGTATAGTTTAATGAGATCCAAATTTATCAGTTTCGGTACCGCACAGTCAATTAACTCCTCTCTTTTTGCTGCGATCGGCTCAAAGTGAGCGAGTGCGCCACGCAGAAAGCTTAATTACAAGTTTTAGCATCGGGTCTGTGTTTGCCTTAGGTAAAAGCATACAAAATTAATTAATCATGAAAGGTTAGATCTCGTCAATTTACTCCGCCTCTACACTTCCACTGTTGCCCGTTTCAAGCTTTTGAACTGCATTTGCACAAAAGCTGATCTATTAATTAATTTCTGAAACATCTAGCATCAAAGATGTACTGTCTGTTGGGTTTCAGTCATTTCTAGTTCTAGAAATGTGCCAAAAAGTTATTTTTAAGAACGAAGGGGGCATTAACATTTACAAGTGAATGTCTGATTGACCAGGGTGTGCACAATCCATAGGACTTTAAGGCATCTCAGAAACTACTAAAGATAGATTTTTTTTTAATATGTTAGTCAGTCAAAATGAAAGTGAAACAATAATGTACAGGGTGATTTACAAGTTTAGAGATATACGCGTCATTAAAACAGAATCGACATCACTAAAAAAATTATTAAAAAAATGTTTGAAGTTATTAGGTATGTTTAAGACCAGTACGTAACTGAACCATTGTAACGTGTTTATTAAAATGTATCTCAATTTTTTTGAGTGCACACATTCAGTTAGCTTCAGCGATTTAATTTGACAAATGACTATTTTCAGTTTTACTGTGGTTTTCATAGAATTCTTATTACAGTGATTTATTATTTGCAACCTCCTTACAAATGTTCAAATTGACTTATGTATACAACAATGTAGAAATACTGCAAATTTTATGTACAGCGATTTGTGTAAATACAGAGTCAGCCGAGCTATCATAGAATCAGCAGTCCCAAAAATGTTTCTTCGTATTACTGTGATTAAGTCAATAGGTATTAAAAAAAAAATAGTAGTGGTTTTAAGACTTTCCCGGACTGTCCTGTTAAACTACCAGGGGTCTTCGTTATTTACTACTGCTCCAGGATTAGAGACTTTCTTTGATGCAATCAACTCTTTTGAGTAGGTACTTGAGAAGCGATATTCATGTATTGTTTGTGGGAGATTTCAATACACCTAATTTTATTTTAGGTACGGTTGATGGGAACAATTTTATTATTGATAATTTTCAACAACTTCACGGACTTCAGCAACGCAATAATGTTTTCAATAACAACAACCATATTTTAGATTTAGTGTTTTCTAATTTCAACTGTAATGTTGAAAAATCTAATTGCCCTTTAATCAGTGAGGATCGTCATCACCCTTCTTTACTGATTACATTTAGCAAAACTGCTGCAGAGTCACAACATAAGTTTGTAATGAATTTCACTAGTACAGCCTACAATTTTAAGAAAGCTAATTTTCTACTTCTATACGATCAGTTTTGATGATGTGAAGGATGTGTGTTTAAGGTTTTATGAAAAATTATAGGTATAGTTTGTTCGACGTTGCTGTTCCTAAGTTTACGTGTGGGGTTATTAAACTAATTCTTGCCAAAGCTGCTGCCCTTAATAAGTATAAAAAATATAGAACTATCGAATATTACAATGGGTTTAGGGATCTCCGTTCAAGATGTAAGCGACTCATTAATGAAGCCTACAAATCGTTTATAAGTGACTCTGAAAAAACCTTATCTATCGATTCTAAAAAGTTTTGGAATTTTATTCAGAGAAAGAAGGGCTCATCGCGTATTCCGTGTATCATGGTCCACAATAATATTGAGCTCTCTAACCCTATTGATATTGTAAATGCCTTTGCTGATTACTTCAACAGTGTCTTTATTCAATCTCATCCAATAGACTCATCTGCAAATGGTAAACGTTCAGTACCTATTGTCATTTCGTCTATTAAGGAGGAAGATGTCTTACGAGGTCTGAGAAGATCTAAAGACTCCTTCACAATGGGTGTGGACGATATTCCAAGTTGTGTGTATTATTTAACTGTACTTTAAAACATTCCACTTTCCTGTCTCTTTGGAAAAAGGCATATGTGTGTCCAATATTTAAGAAAGGAAAACCTAATGAAATTGCGAATTGTAGAGCAATTTCTTTGCTGAGTAATTCTTCTAAAGTTTTTGAATCTACTCTGCATAATGAAATTTATTGTCTCACTAAACATCTTCATCAACATGGATTTATGCAGAGAAGATATACCATTTCAAATCTCGCTGTCTTTTCTCAATTTATTTCGGAAACTTTGGATGGAGGAGGGCAGGATGACGTTATATTTACAGATTTTCAAAATCATTACATCTTACTGGCAAAGTTACAAGGATTTAATTTTTCAGATTCTTCGATCAGGCTGTTGCAATCGTATTTAACAAATAGACAATCTATGGTCAGGTTTCAAAATTTTACCTCTCAAGCTTTTTCTCCATCTTCAGGGGTGCCTCAAGGCTCTAATTTGGGACCGCTTTTGTTCTTACTTTTTATTAATGGTCTTCTGGATATTTTTTTCACGTGAGAAACTGATGTTCGCAGATGTGTAATGTCTTTCACTCGTAAAACTAATTTTGTTGTCTACGACTACAATGGATTTTCGGTTTTTCTTGAACACGCCACCTCCAATCGACTTTGGACAACAGGGCCTTTCCTGGGTAAAATTGAATGCTCTTTCATATTTTTCGAAAACATTTGCAAAATATCAAATCGGCTATACTTTTTTTTAATAAAAATATGCATAGAGACCCCTCTATCTCCACCACTGGAACTAATATGCGATGATTTTCTGTGTCAAATTATTTGCCCTCAAATACTAAGTCTTTCGCCGCAACATGATGATTTTTTTTGTCAGCGGTTATTTAGTTAAAAAATAAATAAATAAAACAAAAATAAAATTGAACGCCCTGTATCTCAGAAACGAAGCGTTTTAGGACCCATATATATAGGAACTTTTAGACTCAAAATGAGGTCTTCTACTGATTCCTGAAGTCCTGCTATTTAAATGTGGGACACCCTGTATATGTATTTGTGTATTTACGTATGTTTAGTATTAGTTAGACAATTACTGTATTAGACGCAGATATTTATTCCTGTAATTGGGTTTAATCCTGTTGGGATAATTAAACTTATTATTATTTACTACCGTAAAAAAGTTTATCCAGTTTGCAAATAGTCTATCTGGATTTTTTTATTAATACTTTATTTCAATCTGTATTTTTTATGTGATCTGGGATTTACTTTTATTATTATTACAAACAATTACAAATACAAATGGCGAATATTGGAACGCTCCAGAAGTGTATTTGTATATCCGCTAGTATATCCGCTAGCCCAAATCGTCGCGGCTACATCTTATTCGTTCTTTCTCAGCTTACGCATTTCTGCCTAAGACAGACATGCAATCTTTATGTCGATCTCTACGTCATCAGTATATGCACAGAAGTTATACAAATTTAGGAAAGAGACGTTATAAAGTAATAGGACAAAAGTAAAACATTATACATTAATAATCCTAACTTAAGACTTAATTATTTATAGTTGATTGCATAACCATTATTCGCAATAACTTTAGCACACCTTCTGGGCATGGATAAGATCAACTTTTGGATAACGTTTTCTGGTATACTTTGCCAAATTTCAATTATATTATTCCGTAAAGCTTCTTTGTTTCTGAATGTTTCTGTTCTTATTCTCCTTTCTACTAACTCCCACAAGTTCTTAATGGGATTTAAGTTAGGTGATTGTGATGGCCAATCCTAAACTCGTACATTATTGCCACGAAATCAATCTTTCACAAGCTGTGAGCTATGCTTGGGATCATTGTCCTGCTGAAATATGAATTTCAGAGGAATTTCCCACGCTGCATATGGCATCATAACGTTCTGAAGGATATCTCTATAATTAATAATAATAATTCCATCAATGAAATGAATAGGAATTATTAATAAGTGTTGCTTTATTTTTGTCCACATAAATTAGCTCACTTAAGACAAAAACTGTATAACAACAAAACTGAACTGTCAAACCCAATGAACTGTCAAACCCAATTGAATGACAGTAGCCTACTACGTACATTTTCCACATAAATGTGGCTTTACCAATAGTGTACATTATACAAAGAGTGTCAAATGAATAAATAAAATAAAGCAAATAATAATTATTGTTATATCATTTTTATTTATCAGGCTAAAACTTTTGTTATAGTATTTTGAGCAGCCCGACAAAACACCCCGAGCTGTTATACAATACAGTATTATTGATTCCGCCACGGATTAATATAACGCCGTTAAATTCTGTATAGATTAATAAAAAACAAAATTTCACGTGCGCCCTTCCCCAAAGCTCTCCCCCGTGCTGTACGAATGCTCGACTTACCGGAAAGTGAGGGTGACCTGGCCATAGACCTTCCTGTTTTCGACGAACTCCGGATCGACGAGCAGGACGCCCTGCAATCTATCGATTCCGCCGCTCGATACCACCAAGTCTCGGGAACTCAAATACAGCGTCAGCTTCTGGTTCGGTGAGGCCTTCTTGAATACCCTGCAAAAAAAAGACGGTGATATTAAATTCGGCGCACCGTAGCAAGTTTAAAGAGAAATTCACTCTTATCGCTCTCCCGAAATGTCATCGGCGTCGCTACCCTTCAAAGAGGAAGTATATTTTTTGTAAATTGTGTTTTATTTGCTTAGGGATTGGAACTGTCGCGAAATATCAATTTTCTACTTGAAATTGGTGTCTGGGATGTGCCACCTTTCACTTTATTGGTTTGTGGCCTGAACTGAAACTGAACTTGTAAATCATTTCTGCAATATACAAGGTGTTCAGGAATGATCGAAGCCCACGTGGCCGGGATTGATTGTCAACCAAAATTACACTACATGCAATGATTGAAAGGTAATTTACTAAAGACAGAGAATGGTCCAGTGAAGTACATATTACATTTCTGTGCAAACTTTGAACTTTAATCCGCTAAATATATATTTCTAGTTTAATGACCCAGAAAATTAAGTGAATTCGTCAATAATGCAAATGTTATTGTTAAGATATGTTAATGTATATTAAAATTGTATTTCAAATCAGGCGAATACAGTGGGGAGTGGTTGACAGTTAAAATGTGATTTTAACTCAAAAAATCGATCACTAGTGTCGATCGATGATATCACGCATTATCATGTAATAAAGGCCAATTCCTTTCTGCGCGATATTCTGGCCGAATACGGCGAATAGACTCTTTTAGTGTAACGTCACATATTTAGGCAACACGCAACCAATTGTCATCGTTGAAATTGTACAGACCGAATCTGACCCTTGTGTACTATTTACATAGATACTAAAAAAATGAATAACTTCAAATTAATTTATTTTTACAAGGATTTGGAAGTATTTAAGAACAACCAACACGTGTTTCATAAAATAGATACACTATTATGCTTAAAACTAACAAAAAATGATTTAAAAGAATATTCCTAAATTTAAATAAAGTAAAAATTTTACATTAGCCGTGTTATTCCTAATGCTCATTCTCGGAAAGAATAGCCGTACACACAGGTGAGCTCTTGTTGATATGTTATCGCTGTCATCATTTTCTCTTGTTTTGTTTAATCTTAGCATTTTCTAGTTCTACTAAGTATTGTTATTGTTTTCCTTGGTATTGTACTGTATCAGTGTGTTTATCGAGTGTTTTTTCTTCAAGTGGTTTATTATAGACGTACTCTTAACCATAACCAAACTTTCCTTGAATGATATCCTGTTGCGAAGCTACTTCACTTACATCAAATTATTTTTAAAACGCATGCTCAGTAAAATTGATATAATTTTAATTTATTAATTACTATAAAAGTCAATATTGTTCTATAAATTTAAATATATAAATTCTTATTAGGCCCGGTACTTTGAGTCTCGGTTAAAGCTTGATTAACAGATCATGCGATTAGACTCTACATATACCTATTTATTTTATAATCACAGTCTAATCGCCTGATTAGTTAATCAAACCTTAACTGAAACCCAAAGTACCGAGCCTTAGTATGTCACTTGGGGTTAGAAACGTCTTAAATATTTCTAATATTGCCAGAATATCGCAATATTTAAGGTCATGACAAAGAAGCAATTTTTTGACACTTATGTCCAAAGTACATAAGGTCAAAAATCGATCTAGTAAAAATATTGAGAAATTCTTCATGACAATGTCCACTATGGGGTTGCCTATTATTTGGCGTATGTGACGTCATTACTAAGAAGGTCTATACTATGCACCAAACGCTTCAAAACGCAGAGATAGAATTGTGCAATGGTTGGGCCCGGTGAAACAAACTGTTCATGGACAATGTCCTTGGAATCATAAAAACAAATCAATATTGTCTTCACTTGTGACTACTCCAAACTAGATTTTTAGGTTTTGGCTCGTCTGGCACCTTCCACTCGGCACTTTGCCGCTTGGTTTCTGGATCGTTAGTCAACTTGTGCGAAACAAACCGTGCACATACTTTTCGGTAGCCCAAATGCGATAAATTGATGTTTTTGAGAAGCTTCCAACTCCATGAAGTTCAATGAAGATTTTGGCCGATCTTTCGATGGAATCTGCGGTGATCACCATAAGCTTGGTCATGAAATTTTGACAATACATCACTGAAGGATCTACCTTTTCGATGCATGTAATTGCCAATAGATGGCCTCACTAGAAATACCCATTTGTGGAAAGTCCTGTTTACTTTGAAACGCACCTTGTATAAAAACCGAGGTTAAACCGTTGAAAACAGAAGAGTACAGGATCGATATATTTGAAAGCGACTGAAAAGAATTAAATTTTTAAAGCTATGTTATACTTGCAGCGGTTGTCACACAAAATGTAGGCTAAAAGCATTGTGGGTGAGACATAACAAAGTGTATTTTATTACATCTTAATTGGTCTCTGCTACTAGAGTTTATTGGCAGAGAGGGACCTACTAATGTACAGGTGGTATTAAAGCAAGACCATTGTAGGCACAACAAAGTTTTAACAAATTATATTGTGGGAAATAATAACCCTGTAGACTAATGCCCTAATCAACAATGAATTAAAGTTGTAATATCTAGTAAATAACTGTCATAAATGCCTACGAATGATTTTGATACTTATTTATAGACATAGTGTGAGTTCGGATAAGACATAACAACAAGTTGAAACCGGTATATATCTGATGGTTCTATTGATGAATCATCTTATTGTTAGCTATTTACTAGATATCGTGGGACTAATTTAAGGCTGATAGATGCATTAGTCCCCAGGGTAGTTGTTTCTTACAATAACATTTGTAAAAAAAATAACGTATACGTTCACATTGTACGGTGTTATCTGGTATTTTTTTAGAAACAGGCTTTTCTTTTGAAGCTGCTTGAAAGAAATGTTTTGTAACTTTTTCTATTAAACTTTTTTATATTTACAATTGTTTTCAAGTTATTTTGTTGCAAACATTTCGACTCACTGTAAAAAAATGTATTTCAAAATGCATAAACTGTTTCTTCAGAAAATATTATTTTTAATTTAGAAACAGAGCGCAACACAAAAAAGTGGGCTGGGCTAGGTCAAGATTAGGTCATTACTTCAATTAAGTCGCACTGCCCTATTTAGATGGCAATATTGAAACCCTTTCAGGATTTGAATGACAATTTTATTCGAATTAAAAGGAACAGCCGTTAATTTAATTCGTTCACGTTTAGAATTGCCAAACTGGAGTTTAATTAACGTTTTAATATCTTGCAGACAAAGTTTCGGGTTGTTTGTTCCAAGATTTAACTTGAAGAATAATCCAATTCAGAATAAAATTTAGTATCAAATAGAATTAAATTTATAACTTTAATTCTAATCCTAACCAGCATTATACAATTATCAGATATAGCTTTTATTAAGAATAATCATATTTAAAAGAATTATGGCAGCGAAATTTTTTAAAATACAATTTACAACACGATATTTATTCTTAAGCGGCAGTAAATCTCACACTTAGCGCCATAAATTTAACCTGATTTATCACCTCCAAGCTTTCACGTTAATAACTTTTTTATTAGGTGTTTAGAATTCGCGATTAACAATAAAAAAAATTACGTCCCACTTTCATTATAAAGTACAATTTTTCGGAGCTCGTAAAATATAAATCTTACAGCTAAAATGTTCACGCACAGAGGGATCATTTCACGTTTCAGTAATTTCGACAACAAGGCGGATAACACGCTCTCTTCGCGCCTGTTAACAATCGTCGTTCCTTTTTAGTCATGTACGCACTGGTGTTCAGTCCTTCTTAGAAATTCGTCGATGGAATGTTTAAAAACGAAAAAAGTATACAAAGCCAATCGGACATACCATGGGCGCCGTTGCAAGATTTGAATTGTGCTCCGAAGAGTTGGCAGCATTGTGCAGAATTACATGTTGTAGTAAACGCGTTAGACAAATGATGCTTTGTACGACGGATTAACGAGTGAAGATTCTGAAAATTAATTACAAGTACAACTACAAGTTTTCGGAGAGTGTGTAGCTGAGACTGTGCGCAAATTACCTGGAATTTTCGGTAGAAGAAACGCCCCGAATGAAACAAATTGTGTTCTAACTATCTTTCTGGGACGCGAGTATGTAAAAAGTCAGAAACAGTTCAAGAAACATGCACCGTAGTGTATGAAAACCGTGTTTGCAGGCGTATGTAACGTAACGTCATCTAATATACAGAGTGTCCCATAAGCACATGATCAGGTACTGCGACATTCTTTGGCTCAAATGAAGACGATCTGACCTAACCTCCATTAAGAAAAAATGTCTGGCTCCTCCGCTATTGATTGCACAGCCCCACAAAAAAAAGTATCGGATCTGGTATTCAGACCCATGTATTTCTATGTTTTTTTTTGCTGAATCCGAATCTGCTTTCAAAATTGGCCCAACGAGTCTGAGTTTTCGGGAAAATTAAAAAAACAGGTCAAAATTCACAAAAAACGTCATTTACGATCGACGAAAGCTATAAAAAGTCAAATTATTCTACCAGCTCACTAGACGTATGATTTTTCACTCGTTTAATTCCAATTTATCATCATAGAGTCAGACAAGCTGGTCCACTTTCATTCAAAAACAGAAAATAGATTAAAAACGCCATTTTCATGGCATAATTCGTGTTGCAAAGTTCTGGATCCATCTTTTTATCCATCCACCCATTTATGAATTCATACATCTTTCTATCATCCACCTGTACCACCTATAAAACCCACCCATCCACCCATCTATCCATCGACTTTTTGTGCTGAGAGATGAGATAACAGCCTAGAAGATTAAGAATGCAATAAAACTTGTAGAATACTCTACTTTCTAAACAAAAGAAAACGATATCTACAAATCATTCTTATTTTTGTTGCTATAACGTGTTCTCTTTTCTTCAAAGGATCTATGCAAAGGGTTACGCTGTCGTTTAGTCCCTGTATTTTTCGTTTGTCTTTTTAAGAACCAACATAAATCGGCCATCATGTTGTGATCCCATCTTCCTTGATATCGCTATTCTATAACCTTCATATCCTGATGAGAT